CTCACTATCAATCTCATTATCGGTATCACTCAACGGGACACCACCGGACACCATGGGACACCACGGGACACCGCGGGACACCGCGAGCCACCGCTGGACGTCTTGACTTCGCCCTAGCAGCGGTGGACACCACGGGACACCACGGGACACCGCGGGACACCGCGAACCACCGCCGGACGGAAGGACGGACGGGCGGGCGGGGGATAATCATTTGTCTTGACTTCGCCCTAGCAGCGGCGGACACCACGGGACGCCGCGGGGCACCGCGGGACACCGCGAGCAACCGCCGGACGGTCGGGAGGGGGATAATCATTTGCCTTGACTTCGCCCTAGCAACTTGCAACGGCGGGAACCACGGGACACCACCACGGGACTCCGCGGGACACCGCAGGCCACCGCAGGACGGGCGGGAGGGAGACAATCATTTGTTTGCGTCGCCCGCACGCACGACACGAACGAAACGAAACGATTTCCCGGTTGGGGGTCTCCGTTCCCGTGCGATCTCACCCCCCAACCTCCGATCTTCTCTGGTGCCTGACACCTTGCCCCTTGCCGGAGACCACTGGGGGTTGCTGAAAAAGTCCCCCGTGCCCCACCCACGGGAGGCCTCCTGGAGTGTCCCCTGAACGTCCCCGACCCCCCCGGAGCGTCCAGGTAGGTTCCACAGGTCACGGACGGGCCAAGATGGCTTCTGGACAGCCCCAGATGGAGTCAAGACGGTCCAAGAGGCCCCAAAGACGGCCCAGGAGGCCCCCCAAAGAGGGCCTAAAGAGGCCAAAACCGATAATTCTTTCAGAGAAACGAGCATTTCCATCAAACTCGTTTTTGGATTTCCGCAGCGTCCAAGGCAGCCCAAGAGGCCCCCAGGACAGCCCCACGACGGCCTAGGAACTTCCCAAGAGGGCCCCAAGACGGCCGACGGGGGCCCCAAGACGGCCCAAGAGGCACCCAAAAAACGTCCAAGGCGACCCTAAGAGGGAGGGGTCCCAGGGGGGGAGTTCGAACCCACATTTCGAGGCCTCCGCCCAAGGAGGACCCCGAAGACCGCCAACAAACCCCAAGGACTCCCCAGGAGTCCCAGGTCCCAGGAGGATCCAAGAGGCTCAAAAGAGGCCCCGAGAGGCGTGCTAAGAGACATCCGCACTGCCTCCAAGAGGCCGCCCAGCGGCTCACCCAGAGACCCGAACAGGCATTCACGAGAGGCCTCACACCTGCAGCCTAGGCGCCGTGGCAGGATGGGCAGCAGGTCATCGAGAGGAACACGCGAGGACGATGGGCGCGGTGGGCCCTCCCCCCTGTCCTCCTGCCCTGCGTCTTCCACGACACCGCGTCTCCTCCTGCTCCTCCCCCTCCTCCCCGTGCCTCTTGGGCCCCTCTTGCCCCCTATCGTGCCTTGTCCTCTCCGCAGCCTGCCCCCGGCATCCAAACGCATGATCCTCCTCGACATCGTCCTTCACAACGCTCCAAGACGGCTCCAAGAGAATCCACTCGAGGATTCCGCCCGGCAGAAATCGCCCCATTCCTTTCCGAAAGCGAGTACGTTTAGTAGATTCATTTGTTTTGTCTCATCAGCGTCCCAGTCGGCTCCATGAAGCCCCCAAGAGCGCCCCGAGGTCGCCGAAGAGGCCCCCAAGAGAGCCGCAAGGCGGCCCCTAGAGGCGCCCACGACGGCCCAGCATTTTTCGAGAGGGCCCCAAGATGCCCAAAACGAGGCTTCCGAAGCGCCCCCCGAGACTGCAAGATACTTCTGGCATGCCACAACTCGAAGACATCTCCATACCAGAAGGCACTCATACATTCAGTATACAAACGCTCCCCCCATCACTCCTCATAATTTCTTCTTATTCTTCTCCTCCTCCTCCTCCTCCCTCCTCCCTCTCCTCCTCCTCCTCCTCCTCCTCCTCCTCCTCCTCCTCCTCCTCCTGCCTCCTCCCCCTCTTCCTCTCCAACCCCTCCCTCCTCCCCCCTGTTTCCTCCCTTTTCCCTATCGCCGTGCTTTTCTCTCACTGTCTTGCTCTACTTCATTTCATGCTGTCTTCTCCTCCCTCCACCCTCCTCCGTCTCTCTTCTCCCATTCTCATTCGCCATCCTTTTTTTCCTTTCTCCTTCCTCCTCCCTCCTTCTTGCCCCTTCCTCGCCATCCTCCCCAACTCCCTCTTCCCCCTCCTCCTGCTCCTCCTCCTCCTCCTCCTTCTCACTCACTCACTCACTCACTCACTCACTCACTCACTCTCTCACTCCTCCTCCTCATCCCTTTCTTCCATCCGAGCACCTCCAGGAGACTGACACCCGCATCTGTGCAGAAGTTCCACGAGGGCACCACGACGTTCCCAGAAGGTGCCCAGGCTGCTTCAAGAAGTCTCCAGCAGCACAAGGAGGCTCGAAGATGCCGCCAGAGTGCCCACACAGGGTTTCCAAGAGGGCCAAATCAGTCAAAACCATAAGACATCTCAACGTGTTGTCCGTTATGTTCTGACATTCCCATTTGTTGCAAGTGTGT